GGAAATGTCATGAAGAATCCCCCAGAAGCCCAGTAGGAGGTAAGGAGCAGCCATGTTTGCAAGGCATGAATTTGCCTTCCACGAAGGACCAGCATGGTACACAACACACAGATGTGAAAACTTGCATTTACCTGACCTAATTCAGTAGCTGAGATTTAATTCATTGCACAAAAAAAAGGCTCCCTAACCTCTTTATGCAACACATCTGTTTGATCTATTAGCACCCCCTTTTGGTCAACTGTTGGAGATATGCTAAAAAAAAAAAACAGACATCACAGCACAGGTAATCAGATAAAAACATAAAGATGAAACAAACTTGAAGAAAACCTCTTGAAGAAAACCTCTTGAAAAATAAAGGCAATCATTAAGAAGTAGGTCTAGATGGTGTTTTAGGTGTTCTGATACTGAATGACTATTGCACCAGAAGGTGTGAATATACATATAAGCAGAAGTCATGATGAACTATTCAATCCACAGAACAGATAATTATTCTTAGAAAAATCAACCTTTTTAATATTATGGCATTTATCAGGAATAATGTAAGCTTCACAGTGTACAGCCACCATAAAGACATTGAATTCTGAACATAAAGAACATGGAAACACTGCCAGCTCAGAACTTCTACAGTATTCAACCTAGTCACACACCACAATTACGTAGACTAAAAACAAATCAGTATAATGTTCTCTCATATAAAATAGACATTAATGATTGCCTGTTACGTGATGTCAAGTACAGTACAGATCACAGTATTCAGCTCCAATATAGTCCATTTTTATAAAGTCAGTTTGTGAAGCTGAGCTTGTGAGAGATGAACTTAAATAGAGTGGGATAATACTTCCTTGGTATTAGATTCATAATTGCCATTAAAGTGATAGAGACTTAACAGAGTCAATAGTATTTTATTTTTACCAGGATACTGCTTACTATTCTTATTACATCCCAACATAAACAAAATATGGAATATAATGCCAAACACTGCTTGTGGAGACCATGTAGTTCTATTTTGCAGTATGAACTGCATGAGTAACTTTGGAGTCTGGAGGAAAAGCAAGTTCTCCAATTATAAGTAGTTACATTCTCAGACAATATTGGCACGTAGAAATTTTTCCTTTGCCTACAACATATTGCTAACTTATAAACACAGTAAATTATGTTTCTGAATGGATGAAAGGAATATAAATTTATTTAATCTAAACTACTTAGATTTCTGTATTAAGCGGCAATAAAGATCAAAACTGAAATAGAAATGTGCTAACCTCATAAAGTTCAACAAGACCAAGTGCAAGATCCTGCATGCAGGTTGTGGCAATCCCAAGCACAAATACAGGCTGGGAGGGGAATGGATGGAGAACAGACCTGACTAGAAGGACTTTGGAGTGCTGGTGGATGAGAAGCTCAACACGAGCCAGCAATGTGCCCTGGCAGCCCAGGAAGACAACTGCATCCTGGGCTGCATCAAAAGAAGCGTGGTCAGCAGGTCGAGAGAGGTGACTCCATCCCTCTACTTGGCTCTTGTGAGACCCCACCCGGAGTAGTGTCCAGCTCTGAGGCCCCCAACATAAGAAGGACATGGACCTCTTGAAGCAGGTCCAAAGGAGGGCCATGTAGCTAATCAGAGAGCTGAAGCACCTCTCCTATGGGGACAGGCTGAGAGAGTTGGGGTTGTTTAACCTGGGGAAGAGAAGGCTCCGGGGAGACCTTATAGCAGCCTTTCAGTATCTAACGGGGTCCTACAAGAAAGCTGGAGACTTTTTACAAGGGCTTGTTGTGACAGGATGAGGGTGATGGTATCAAACTAAAAGAGGGTATATTTAGATTAGATATCAGGAAGAAATTCTTCACTATGAGGGTGGTGAGGCACTGGAACAGGTTGTCCAGAGAAGTTGTGGATGCCCCATCCCTGGAAGCGTTCAAGGCCAGCTTGGATGGGGCTTTGAGCAACCTGGTCTGGTGGAGGTGTCTCTGCCCATGGCAGGGAGGTTGGAACTAGATGATCATTAAGGTCCCTTCCAACCCAAATCATTGTATGACTCTACGAAATATATAAACATTGCTTCTACTTGCTAAAAAGTTCATATGCAAAATGTAGATATTTATTTTCCAGGTGTGTGTTTGGAAAACAAGACAGGAACTGACTGTGCCTTCTGTTAGGCAAATCTGCATTATCTAAAGAAGCAATGGTCATACAGATGTACTGAATAAACACGAAAATAACTTTAAGTGTTTGACTTGTTAGTGTGCATCTTCAGAGCTAAATGTTAAGTTCAAGTACCTCTAGAAATATTAAATGAGTTAAATTTTCAAGTAGTAAATACTTTATTAAATATAAAACAGTAAAATTTTACGGTTTTTTTGGTTCTACTTTAATTACCCCACCGATAGGGAAATGCTATTGATGTATCTACAGATAACCAAGGTATCAGCTGAACCACAGCACTACGCAAACACAGCCATAGACCTTCCAGAACTGCTGTAGGACCAGAGCGCTATAGCCACTCCTGGCACTCCTGCTAAGTCCCAAGACAAAAGTCAGCTCTGTCAAGAGATGGCTTGAGTTGGCCACCATCAGTGTCCCATATTTAAACAGCTTTCTCAGGGCAAACAAGGAATGAGGAAGGTTAGCTCTGACCTAGTGCCAAGCTTGCACTGCCCCTGTCACAAGCAGGGCCCATTTGAGCTGCTCTCTAGACAGCTAATTGAGCTGACACCAGCAGGTACACAACAAAGACCAGCACAACCCTTCAGAAGACTCCACAACGGCCAGGCAGTAAGCACAGGCAAGCCTACTCCTGCAAACTCACACAGATGTCTCCACCATGCTTCTGAGGGCTATGCTTTGCAGGCGCATTAATTAGGTAGGTGCATGCATGACACAAGCACAACACACAACGTAAACAGCTTGAGCTGAGGCAAAAATCCAGAGCTAGCTTGGATTGGGCTCAAGTCAGCACACTACGTGAGGGCTGTACATCCTGAAATAGTTCTCTGCAAATCCCAGGCTGATATCAGACTGTTTCCTGATCTGCCTGGACATAAACTCAGTCATTATTTACAACTAAACTTCTGAACAAAGTCACAACAGCATTTCTAGACCCCAATATGCATGTAATTCAAAGTATCCCAGTGGCCTCTCCAAGACTGCAGCAAATTGACCAGAAACACTTCCAAGAGACAGGCTTAGCATGTTAAGAATAAAATGACCCAAATTTATTTAAAGATTTTTTAGTAGAAATTATAAAACTCATGATGAAAAGAGATCTGATAATACCACTTTTACAGCAATAGAATACATAATTTATAAAACATCCAACTGCTGTCAGGTGACAGGAGCTCTAAACTACTGCCACCTGTACAGTCGCTGATCAGCAATTTCATTACTACTCTCCAAACCAGAAGACCTAGTCTTAGAAATTAACTTCAAATCACAATCTGAGAACAGCAGGTTTGCCATGGACCAGTGGAAACCTCTTGTAGGCAACTCAGACAAAAGCCAAATAATACTAGAAACGCTGCAGAGCCTGTATCAACTATCAACCCAGTATCACGGTATCTAGTTAGAAAGTCTAATAAAAAGGAAAAGGGAAAGTTATGTAGGGAGTAAAGAGAAAATACACAGGTGACATATTTGCTCTGTTTGTGCTTTCTAAATGTCAAACTTCTCCCCACACATGCACATTCAGGAATTCATACAACTAGACAATAACTAAAAACTGTGCTCTCTTTATAGTAAGAACAACAAAAGTCAAAGGGTTTAATTCCAAAACTGTGAAGAATGAAACTAACGTTCCACAACCCACCTCTGTCTTAGGGAAGTTTATGCATTTTGAAAAAGAGCCTTTGAATCATGTAAATAAAACAAAAAATTAGTAAAGATGCTTCTGTGTTTGCAAAATGGTTTATGGCACAGTATGGTGCTGTATTTCATCCCTATACTTTCCTCTTGATTTAGCCTTTCTATTTGAGTGCACTTAGATGCTTAAGTAATGCTTATTCCAATAATCTAAGTAATAGCAGGGTCTGTAAAATATGGCATGTAAGTAAAGGCAACTTCTTTCTTATTTAATGCTCTCAAACATTTGAACTATAAACTACTGAACTAAACTATGTACAACAAGGAACCCTTTAAAGTGTTACTGGAAAACTACATCTTGGTTTATAATGGTTCATGAAATTCAATGAAGCGATTTGGCTAGTAAGCCTCAGTTGTTGCACAGCTATGAAAAAATGTATTTAAGAGCTATCTATTCATTTATGTTTGTAGTACTTTGTAAAAGCCACTTAGAGACAGCCAAATGCCTTGCTAATGGAATGCGACACGCAGAAGCAGGTCACTTTTCAGATCTGTATGCTCTCATTCCAGACGTGAATGGGATAATCTAGCTAGTATTATTGTGTATGAATTTATTTTACCCTTGATTTGTAAATTTAGCCTTGTCTCAGCCACCTTACTTGACAATTTCCTTCCTGACATCAAGCTTTTGTCAACTTCTCTTTGAACTTGTTGCCATTCTACAGCTATCAGGTACCTTAGCTACTCCCTGCTGTATCACACCACATATATTTCCACCTTAATCACAACACAACCTATTTGTTAATTCTTCTGCCTGTCCACATCATTCCTTTGTTGACAGATTTCCAACTTCCTTTGCACACACCTCTGAGTGGATCAACATCCATGATATTTCAATAAATTTTTGCCTACTGAGTTACATGCAAAGAAGATACACCAATGGTGCCATCTTACATGCAAGAATATAATTGGAGTTTTCAAGTCAGCTTGTCCTCTAATAATAAGAGTCTGAAGACAAACTGTTCAGAGCATGCATCAGGACTCTAAGGGCACAGAACAGGTATTAATGGCTGTGACCAGCCTCATCCAGGGCTTTCATCAACATGCCCTTGTTCACCCACTAACTTTTCACCCACTAATAGGGAATGTGAGCTGGGTTTAGGCTGTTGTGAGACAGGTTAGTTTTACCCTACTGATGATGTGTTACTGCAATAGTAATTGGCCCTGTCGTCCTGAAGCTCCATTTAAGCTCAGCTCTGGGTCTTCAGCCCTTGCCTGAGAGGCATCAGCTGCCTCAATGGACTTCAGACACACGTTGCAGCTTGTTTCCAAACCCATCTCTGGATCCTTTCGCTCCTGACTGGACTCCATAGGTGGTCCCTGGACCTGGCTCATGACTTCGCTGTGTCTGGAACTGTTAATGGACCCTATTACCGGCACCCAGGTCTCCACATGTACAGATACTGTGGGACTGTGCCCTGGTCAGTGAGAGCAATGTCATTGCTGGGATCAGCTTCAGCTTCCAGCTTGCTTTACCTTCGGAAGCAGCCAGCCCTTGCTGCTTCCTGACACTTTGCTAGTCAGTAATTCCTATGAAATTAATTTTTTTCTAGTGTATGCAATATTTGTACTTGTTTTTCAGCCTCATTACTTTGCAATCAAAGCACAAGACTTAATTTATATGTAGTCTCTCTACAATAACCAGTTTAAAATCTTACCTCTTTTAAAAAGATGCTAACCACACAGGTTTTTTGTTGTGGTTCCCAGTGTGATTAATTAGCTTCTACAATACACATCTGTCTTTTAGTTTAAAACAAATGGTTAGCTGCAATGTAAGCAACCTATGCATGTGTCTCCAACAGAAGTTTTACAAAAATTATCACGTCAAAACTGCTACTCTACATGCAAGTGCAAGTAACAATTACATGGCATTAGTTTAGGAAAAAAAAAAAAAGTCCTTTCTTCTAGAGAGCACTGTAGCAGCATCTGCAGTCGCGGGACAACAATTCTTGAAATTGATGAAGGATAAAGTATTGTGTGTTACAATATAAGGAAAGTGCCAAGGTACTTAAACCAAGTCTTCCTCAAAACAAAGCTTGAGTGCCTTGTTGTTCCATAATTATCCTACTTCAATTTCTTTCCATTTATCTGTTTATTAATGTAAACACACCTTACAAATATTTTTGGAGAACTTAACATTTGAGAATAAAAATAACCTCATCAGGTACCCTATTTGTGTGTTCCCTTGTACTCTTACTTATACACTGAATCTTTTTTCATATTCTTACTATCTGAGCAGCTATTATCTCTCTGAAAGGAGACTGCTAGCCTTGCTATTGCTTACTCTTTTCTAAAGTGGAATAAACCCTTAAGGCAAAACTGGTGTTTCAAATGCAAACCTTATTCTTGAATTCCAGTTCAGACAACAACATTCAGATTATTTGTCTCTTTCTCTGGTAGGCACAATCAACACTGACATATGACAAAACATCACTGCTGCAGAATTTCCCGTCAGATAACTTACACAGCACATACAAATGCTCCTTGAATACATGACAGAACAGTCAAAGCTACTGTATGAAAAGCTCTGCATTTTTTTTCCTTCCTTTAAAATATAGTGATTCAACTGAAAGTAGTAAGGCACAAAATACGTCTCTAGTTGTACAATGAAAAATGGTACTTCTGAACATTATTGACATCAGATGCAATACCCATAAAATTCTCTACTTAAAACTAATAAAATATATAGAAAAGATGAAAAAATAAAGTTATCCTCTGCAACACAATTTTAGTTAGGACTTTAATACAAATGACATTACTAATAGTAAGAGGAACATTACTTCATTATACTGATAGCAAATGACAACATTAGAATAATTATTTACATACAGTGTATACATTCATACAAGACAGGTCTTCAAATATTTTATGTAAAATACATCAAATCTGATTTTTAAAAAATAATGAATAGAAGCTGTTTATGAAATAAGCAGCTGCAAGAACTGTTTGCCCACACACATTCTGGAGCTGCCTACAGTCTGTCTAGTTGAGTCAAAAGTTAATTTACTTCCTCAACATCAGTCACAGGTCAAGGGAAGATTAAGACAGACAGAAATTACCGCAGCTAGAAAGGGGTTTGTTAACAAAATGGTACCTAAACAAACTGATACAGCCAGGAAGGAACAACTGCACTTTGAAACTCAGAGATATGCCACTCATTTCTTAGGAAATAGGGAACCATTTCCCTACGTTCCCTATTACCCTTATGTTTCCCTAATACCAAAAGGTAACATTAACTGTTCAGCTTGCCTTCTGCTAGTTTAACAATACCTTTTATTAGAAAAAATAAAGGATTTGATCTTAAGGCAGTTTGGAGGTATCCTTTGTAACAAACTCAGAATCAAATTCTTACAAAATAATTTTAAAGGCTTATCAAAATTCACTGTATTGTCAGGAGAACTAAAATATGTACATGGATAAAATGCATTAAACAATAAGCTTTTAAGGATTTTACAAATTTACGGAAACTATTAGTATAAAAGAAGACTTTTTCTTAAACTTGGGGGTTTTTTAAACTATCTGTGCGTGGGTTCAAGCTTCCCTGCTAACTATGTAAGCCTCTCAACATTTCAGTCTCTTACAAGAGACAATTTGGCCAACAGTAGCTGCCTAGTGGGGTGAGGCATCTTTTATTCCTAATTTTTCTCAAAATACCAAAAAATTAATTTCAAGTCCTATGGTAACAACAAAATATGCAAACAGACATGGTTCGCTTTCAAAGAACCAAAGATGCACAAGTTTAAGAAGAGGTATTTTCCTGCATCACAAAGAATCACATAAAACATAGTAACCATGAACAAGACTGTGTTAGTCCCAGACAGAACTCAGTAGTGACATTACCCTTGACATTACCTTTGTATCTCCAAAAATTTACCTTATGTCTAACACTGTTTTCAAGCGTGCTTAAAGTTGACAAATTCCTTTACAAAAATAAAAATAAAAAATTGACAGAAACAGTCAAGAGACTAGGGATGATAAGAAATTATTAACATACTAAGTAGATGATTTGTCCATAGAATAAATTACACAAAGATGTCCATAAAAGCAACATTCAAAATTTAGAAAGCAGGTTAATTAAAAAAATCAATCATATTAACTGTAATTAGTGTTTATATCCTCACTATTCACCAACATGTGCTTAACAATAGGGGAGATTTCCCACAGTGCCACAGGGAAGACCAATTACATTGGTCTAATACACTGGGAGCTATACATTGGTCTGATATTTCCTAGTGTTGATTTGATTTGGATTTATTTCCTCCCAGAAAAAAGAAGTGTCAGATACTGATTTTGCTTGAATCTAGTTGTGAGTGAAAGGCAAAAGCATTTTATTGAGGTAGTGAGTATAAATTAAATTCTCAAGTTACGTAGTGTTTTGTAACTTAACTTCTGAATCTCACTGCTGCGTTTTGATAGTGCCTCTTTTAGTGAAGAACAGCTTTGAAAGTGACAGTTCCTATCAGTCAGAAATACAATCCAACCCACCGTCTTCTGGGCTTTCCAATCATATATAAATATTGCATCAAGTTGAGATGTATAATGGAATTACAAGGTTAATTGAGTCATAATACTCAAAACCACATTAAGGCAACACCAAGGTCATTTTTGTAACCCCAAAAGTACTATTTTTCCAGTATAAGTTAAACCTGCTGAACAGTACATATTAAACCACCAGAAGTAAAGCATTATTATGTTATTTTGTTAACATAGATTTGAAATTCTATTTATTGACAGCTGGCAGTCAAATTCCCCTTCTTCATGTATCCATATGGCATTTAATAATCTTTCTATCAATTTATTTATTTGATGAAAAAATGTTACTTCTGTAACAAGTTCTACAACTACATTTCTCTCAAACTTGAAGATACTAAATATTTGGTATAAAGAAATAGTAACAGAAAAGATTTTCCATTTAAAAAAAAAAAAAAAAAAGTTTGGGGTTTTGTTTTGAAAACAAAGTGTCACGTTCAAATGCAGTGACAGAACCTATTTTAAATTGTCTAGTCCCTGAGGGAAGGTATTACAGAATACCAGTGCCAACAAACTTCACCTCTACCCTCCAAGGCTTTGGGTTTGGGGTTTTTATACCTATCTCCACTCCTCTTCAAACCTTCAAAGAAGAGAGAAAATTATTAGGTTCTTAGATCTGTAGGTTAAGGGAAAAAGTTATTCTAGCATGTAATAATACTTTTTTAAAAGACAAGCCAGAACTGCAGTTCTGAGCCCACAATAATTGGTTGCCATTAAGCTGGTAAGAAGAGTTTTTAGCTGCCTTAGTGCAGAAGCAAGCATATTGCTAATTTACCAGTTATTTTTCAACACAAACATACTTTAAACATCTGCCTGCTTGTCCCTATTAAACTTTTTCTCACTGAAAAGGGCTGTCATTCCTCCTCCTTTGGATTCCAAATTCCAAAAGTGAAGGACTGAAATGTAATTAAAACAAGGGTAGATTTAGACTAGATATAAGGAAGACATTTTTTACAACGAGGACAGTGAAACATTGGAGCATGTTTCCCAGAGAGGTGGTAGATGACCCATCCCTGGAAACATTCCAGGTCAGGTTGGACAGGGCTCTGAGCAACCTGATGTAGTCAAAGATGTCCCTGCTTATTGCAGGGGGGTTGGACTAGACGACCTTTAAAAGGTCCCTTCCAACCCAAACTATTCTATGATTCTAAGTGACTCCAAGTTACATGCCCAACAGTGAACAGCAATTTAGGAAGCCTGATCAGGAACATTTTGCTTTTGTAACATCTACTCTACTTACTTCTCCATAATTATGTTAAAAAAACGAGCCATTTCCAGAAGAACACCTCTTCCTTGCTCCCAACCTCTTTTCCCCTTCTCCCCCTCTTACTTTCATGTCTTTCTATTCATCCTCTTTCTCACCTAGATCAATAATTGAAGTACTTGAACACTATGGGAATCACATACAACTTTAAGAACAAGAATAATCTTGATCTTAGCTCACTAGGTGACAAGCTGTGCTTTAGAAGAAGGCTAGACTCCATGATACACAGTATTTTTCACTTTTTCATTTCTCTGATCTGTGACAGAATTCTTCACTTTGGCAGCAACATCTTACTTTTCTAATGTTTCATTACATTGTCATCTTTGTTCCTTCATGAGGGCTTTTCAAAGCTTCCTCTTTCCATTTTAAAAGAAACAGGGAGCATTCCTACACCCTGCTTCCCATGACACCAAACAGGGAAGTCAAAAGCAGGAAACCTAAAACACTGTTCTGGCTCACTAGAACTGCTCTAACCTCGTAGTAAAGGAACATACCACGGAATAAGACAGTATGTTTTTGTCCTGTCAACTCTTACAGGACA